GTGGCCGGAGCTGGTCGTAACCCGAAAAGTTTGTAAGCAGAGGCGTTCGTAACCCGAGGTACCACTGTACTGTGGGTAAGGGAGAAATTTGTAATTGCTAGTTTATGTGTCTGAGATCCAGTTTGGAACTGCTGCTGCCAAAATATTTGTGTAAAACAACCAAATCGGGGGGGGGGGGTTGTTGGTTGGGGTAATGACATTATTCAAGACTGGAAAAAATAATCTGGGTCAAACAGTTTAAGAAGCATTGATCTAGAGTTTGAGATGAGTTACAGTAATGAGTAATATTTAAAAAAATGCAGAATGGTTTTTAAAATGTATTGGGAATCATTAGAAAATGGAAAGGCCGGTGATGTGGCAGATATCTATGCTTCTTGGAGATAAGATTACAAATACTGAGCTAATGAATATAAAAATACTGATTAATTAAAAACCTCAGAAACAACAGCTGAACCATAACATTGTCAAAAGTGCCTTTTTCCATTAATTTAGGGACATTTAGTCCAATTTTCTATGCTCAAAATTCAGAAGGAAAATACCGCATCACCAGATACCACAGTATGGCTGAATTTACATATCTTATCTTATCTTATCTTATCTTATCTTATCTTATCTTATCCCGCAAGGTGTTCAGCATTTATATGAAATCTCTGAGTAAGGTCATTCAGCATGGTGTTACCTATGGCAGATGTTCTGTACATAGCTTAATGTATTCTCTGAACCCATTGAATTGTGGTTTATTCAATAAACCATGACTGGGCAAACCATGTATTAATGCAATGTATATACCATACCTCTATTTTTGGTATTTTAACCAGCAGTGCAAAGGTAAAACATGATTAGTGATAATTATGACTAAGCAGGATATTTATACTGAATTAATGTAGAACAAAACAAAACATATTCTAGGCCTAATAGCATAACACTCTCACTTTAATCATGATTTGTTAAAAAAGGCATGGTAGCCTTGGTTTGTCAAACCAGAAAGTTAAGCCATAATGAGTGTGTTCATACATTATTCTGAGCCAAAAGTGAAAAACTATTGTTTTGTGATTGCTGCAAAATAATATTTTGCACCAGTAAAGCGCTAGACAGCATAGCACTGGGTTACATCAGGAATCACCTTGTCCCAAGTGATTCTGCCTGCCCTATAAGAGCACAGGGGGAGGCCCTGCCATTGCAAGACACCAAAGGTATGTGGCAAGACATTCTCTGTGGGTGTCCCAACACTGTCACTACCCCTTTACTCCTGGTAATCTGGAAAACTCTAAGATCTCTCCTTTTAAGCATGCACTTGAGTTGATAATGACTTGGTAACCATTTCTGGTTATGCTATACTGGTTCAAAAGGGTTGAATTTTCATCTATGGATTGTTTAGTTTATGTTTTTGTTATGAATGCCCTGAATTGATTGGTCAGGGTGGCCGAAAACAAAACCTGTAAATAAATGAATAAATAAGTAAATCATGGCTTAGCATTCTATGTGAGATGGGTCAATCTCTTTTGGGAGAAAAAATGTAGAACTCCTGTTCATTTCAATGAGAGTTAGTAAAGCTCCTCATTTGTGTTATAACTTTGGTTTTATGTTTTAAATATTTATTTATTCAAATGAATTAATATTATAAAGATTAATATTGATAATCATTATCTTTTATACAAACAGGATCTAAAATATCTCTGTCCTATAAAATATCTTCTTGTTATTTTATGCTTATGAAGAGGAAAAATTCAAAACAAAACTTTGAAATTTAATTTTAACTCAAAAAGAGCTTTTGATTTTGAATATAGTGATCATTTACATCCCAATGGGGTAGAATAGGTATTTTCCCCATAAGTATCTATAAACTTTGCTTCAGCCACATGCTTTTATTGATTTCCATATAATTAACTTTCTCAGTTCATTGCTCACACATATCTGCTTTTAATACCTTATTATGCTTAGTTGCCACTATAATCACTTGCAAATAATCATTTATTTATCACTTGCAAAGAAATAATCACTTGTTTATTTAGGTATTGCATGCCATCTTTCTTAACCAGGTTTTCCCTCATCCCTGTGATTGCTCTGGAAATGTTTAGAAAGGAAATAATTCTGTGTGTAAACCAGATGCAACAATTTGAAGAAGGTAATAAGGATACTATATACAATTCAAATTAAACCAAATAATTTGCTCTGTTCAATTTTACAAGACAATGCTGCAATCTAGATAATTACATTTAATGGCATAAGCTTGAATTAAACTAGTTTAGGTCAAACACATGGATCATGATACTGAGCTTGAACCAGAAACAAAGGAGGTAACCTCAATCAGAATTAAACCAGGACAAAACAAACATTTTAATTTCCAAACTGAATCTAGCTATACTTTCTAAGCTATAAGCACTTTCTGTGCATACTCTCTTTACTGCAGACCCTTTACTGTGATTTATGGGCCTGATTTTATTTTTATGCTCACATAAACACACCTGCCAACTGTTCTCAATTGGCTGGGACAGTCAGGGCAGTGGGGATCATTCTGCTTGAAAAATTCATCATAAGAAATCCAGACTTAGCAACAGAGAGGACAAAGCATAGTAACCGAGAGGATTGGAAATGCACTCAAAAGCCAGATTAGTTGTACTCCCTGGCACAAGGATGAAACCCAGACTTCTGGGCAGAGGGGAAGGAACTGGAAGCAACCAACATGTATGCTGAAAACTGCTGGGTTTGGGGTGCTTTGGGAGCCTTGATACACACAGGCTAGCTTTGCTATAATACCAACCATGAAAGGTCAGCTGCTATAATTAGCATATACTATACTGAGAACACTAGTACAGGAATTTTTATTTTTATTTGTGGTAGAAGCTTAGGTCTTGCTAGAAGAATAAGGTCTAATTTAAGAAATTACAATAAAAGGATGAAAATGTAGAGATTAATACTCCGCCAGTGAAGACCACATGTGACAAGATATAATAGCCTATGATTATAAGTTGGCTGAATATGTCTGATGTTTATGGTTGGAAGGGGACCAACCCGAAGAAGACAGGATCTTGGTCTCCTGAGGGGATAAAAGGTTTGGACTTCTGGGCAGAAGTTTGGAGGGACTTCACCATCAATTGCCAACAATACTAGAGTCATCCCACTCAGCACTTCCCTGCATTCTTCTTGGTTTCCTGTTGAATAGGCAATGCAACTAGAATTTGCAACTTTGAATAAAAACAGCTATACAGTATAGTGTTGTTAAGAAATTGTTAGGAACTGAATCCATCCTGTATTTGACTCTTGAAATGATATTTAGTTTCTGTGCGTCTACTTTACTTACTTGTTACTTAGCAAAATAAAACTTTCCCACTGAATCTTGGTTTGATTTTTAAAGCTATCTGGTAAAATATACTGAGGAAAACTTCCTATGTTCAGTTTAGAAAAGAAATAAGTAAAACAGCATGCTGGCAGCTGAGAATGAACTCCCTGAAGCTGCCACCTTAGCAACTGACAGGAAAAGAAAATTGCCATCTGTGATTGTGAGCCTGGGAGAGTTCTCTGAATAATCCAGGTATATGAGGACAAGTACTTTGAATGAACTGCTATATTCTAGGTTTAGGTATAAACTGAGATGTAATCTAGTGTTTTCTTCTGGAGAAGGTTGATGAGAGAAGTAATAGAGTTTATTTGTAACAGCCTCTCTTATCCAGAAGAATATTGCATTTTTAAAAACTTCTTAAGTGCTCTAATCTGAGGCCTTGTTAATTTAAAACAATGTTATTTTCAAAATCATATGTTTACTTTTTTGCTCAAACAAAAATCCAAGCAAAAACGTTATAGAACTATATTCTCACATTCTACAGGGGATTTAGAAGGCCATTCAAAAAAAGGACATATATGCGTTTATTCTTTCTCAGTTTCCCATGGTGGGACTCATGATCTAAAGGGGCATATAAGCCCTGTCAAGTACAGGACAAGTGCAGAAAGTCAAGAGTTAAAATCCTCCTGAATGCTTGTATGTTCTTGATCCAATCTGCAGAAATCAGTGACAGAGCAGGGAACACAGAAACTAGTTATCTGTATACTGCGTGTCTGTCTGTCTATCTATCTATCTATCTATCTATCTTGTGCAATAAGACATAAATGGACAAGTATGAAAGGAAGAACATGTAGTCACCCTCTGGGGGAGGTGGGCGGCATATAAATTTAGTAAACAAACAAACAAACAAACAAATGAGACCCATAGGGGCTTCGTTCTCAAAGATATTTGCTTATGCAGAATCTGGAAACAGAAAAATTGAAGCCTCTGGAAAGAGTCAAGTCTCTCTCTCTCTCTCTCAAAAAAAGACCCATTTTGCATAACACATAGTGGTTTTTAAAACAAGAGATTGTTCCCATGGGAACTGGATGAGGTAATGGTAGTCAAATAAAAACATGCCAGGAAGAATAAGCAGAGGACCAAGGTGGGCCTTGCCAAGGCTTGTTAGATAGTATAAAAGTGGATGGGAACTGTGTATTTTGGAGCCATCAAACAAAATGAGGTACCCTGCACAGTGGGTTTCTTGCTTCAATTTTTCTGGAACTGAAATCCAGGATAGTTAGTTAGAATTTGAGCTGTGTAAATGTGTGAGCAAGTGAAGCTTTTAATTCAGAAAGTGAACAACAGAAGTTGTGAGCCTGAATTTGTTTCTATATGTCCTGAGTTTCTGGATAAATAGAAACAAATAGCACTTGTGATATTATAAATACGTTTGCTATATCCTTCTGTTTAATAACTATGTTGGTTTAAGCTTAGGGGAAGATTGTCCCCATCACCACAAACACTATTTCAGTTCCAGTTATTGATGTCTCATTTGGTTAGATTTCTACCTTTCTAAAGCTATAACAAGCCACATCAATATATCAGTAAGGATGTTTGTGATGAATTATGAACAAGAAATTATGGAAACAGTGTACCTACTGTATATAGTATGTCCCTATTTCTGATGCTGGTACATTGGCATTTGTAATATTACAAGTGTCTGCTGACATGCTTGATGTTAAACCTAGAGTTGTGTCTGCGACTGAAGTGGCTAATAAATTTATTAATTAAGTAATCATAATTTCTGCAGAGTCATATTTTACTTTTGGATTTGTATAGATATCATGCAGTTGACAGTGTAACCAACATTAAGCAATAATTAGTGTACCACATGGAAGAATAGGTTTAACTTCAGTTAACCTGTTATCTGCAAATTCATAAATATCCCTTTATTTAAAATTAATTAGTACTCTGTTAGTGGCAGAAACATTGCTTGGATCCAAAACCCAAACAAGTACAAAAATGATTTATATCCCACCTTTATTTTGTACAACTCAAAGCAGCATATATAATGCTCCCTCCTCCTATTTTCCCACAACAACCCTGTGAGGGGGATGGTCTGAGAGAAATTAAATGGACCAAACATGGATAAAGTTCCATGCTGTTGCCTCCTAAAACAAAAAAGGAAGTGGGTATAATTCCACTGTTATTTACAATTATCCTAAAAATCTATGAAAAGAAGAGAGGGACAGTGAGAGAAAGGGAAACAGTAGAAATCATATCCAACAGACTGTGAATAAAGACCTTGCTATATCAAATGTCTTTGCATTCATAAAGGCACTCCTATTGTGAACAGACCAGCACCCTTAAATTCAATCCACTGTATCTTATAGATGCGTTTTAAAACATAACATACTCAGTTCTAAGAAAACAAAAATCTTTATAAATAATGAGAATCATGCATCTGGTTCCACACAAATTTCCATTTTGTAGTTTGCACATATTGGTGGAGCTTGGAATTCCCAATATTCAGTATCTGCTATGCCGGGAAAGAAACTGAAGGCAACATAAATATAAAGGGACAAATCTTAATGTATTGTCGAAGGCTTTCACGGCTGACATACGATGGCTGGTGTGGGTCTTCCGGGCTGTGT